GCGCTTCCGGCGCCGCCCCTGGCGCGCTCCGCGCGCCAGTGAGGGAGGGTCCAGCGCGGATCCGAGAAATCCGCGCGGGCCTCCGAGTTTGTTGTTTGTGTCATTCTTCGTTTCCTACCAGTGCCAAGAAGCACCCCGCTTGCCTCCAGGGTGCACCTGGTTTCTTAGGCTTCGGTGGTTTCGCGATGGGGAGCGACGACGTTCCCACACCGAAAATCCATGGACGTCCTGGGGTCTCAGGGTTGGGTTTCTTGTGGAAGGTTTCTTGTGGGCCGGCCTCAACTGTACGACAATCTCAACCGCCTTGGAGTCGTCGTGTCCAGGGGTCCAATGGAGCTCTCGAGGAGTGGCTCGAAGCACAAAACATTCGGCATAAGTATAAATTGTTCGACGGTCCGCGCGGATTTCTTGGATCCGCGTTGGGGTCCCCTGGCGGCGCCTCCGGCGCCGCCCCTGGCGCGCTCCGTGCACCAGGGAGGAGGTTCTAGCCCAGATCCAATAAATCCTCGCGGACCTCCAAAAGTTGATGCTCATGCCGTTGGTGTTGTTGTTGTTACTGCTGTTGCTGTTGCTGTTGCTGTTGCTGTTGCTGTTGCTGTTGCTGTTGCTGTTGCTGTTGCTGTTGCTGTTGCTGTTGGTGGTGGTGGTGGTGGTGGTGGTGGTGGTGTTGGTGGTGTTGTTGGTGGTGTTGGTGTTGGTGTTGGTGTTGTTGTTATTCTAGGTTGACATGTGGAAGCTGTGTGCCTTGATGTGTATGTTGTGTTCTGTGTTTATGTGTATGGTTCTGTGCATGCTTACGATGCTGCTTCTTCCTCTGGTGGTGGATGTGGACTCTGCCCGCCCCCGAGGGCCGGGAGGCAATCTTGGCCCCACCGTGCTGCAGGCGTCCAGAGGGCAGGGCTCCGGCGGCCCTGTGGGCGTGGATGCCGTGTGGCGGCCCCCCATCCCATCGGGGGCCCCCAAACGGGGTGATGACCACACCGTGCGGTGAGTCGGTGGGGATTCGGGGTCGCCGCACGGTTTTGGGACTCGGGTCGTTCTCCGAGGAGGTCTCGGGCGACAGGGGTCTCGAGGGTCCCAAGACCCGTGCGGGGACGGACCGTGCGGTGAGGTCTTGGGGGATTTCGAGGTCACCGCACGGTCTGTCACCGCACCGTTTCGGGACCCCCAGATCCCCTCCCATCGCTTCTCCTCCGTCGAAGAGGAAAAAACGACATAAACATAAACTTCGCGCGGACCGTCGACATTTACGTTTATGCAGTTTTTTCGTTCTTCCACTCCATCCTGCCCCTCGCCCCCCCCCTCCTTCACCACCCACCAAACCACCCTAACCCAACCCGAAGGCCCCAATTGGCCCTGCATTCCCTGTTGGGGGGGGCGTCGGGGAACACTGAAGAAACACATGTGGAACTCGTGCCCCCCCCCCCAAAACCGAAATTGGGGTCTTCTGGTTGGGTTGGGGTGGTTCGGTAGGTAGTAACCTCTTCCTTCTGGTCTCGAAGAGGAAAAACGCCAGAAGCATAAACTTTTGGCGCTCCGCGCAAATGTCTTCCGGGAGGGGGACCAGCGCAGATCCAAGAAATCCGCGCGGATCGCCAAAAGTTTCAGCCGCTTCGACGTGGGCAAGGGTGGGAGAAAGGATGATAAGGGACGACATACGCGACCAGAGGATGAGCCCCGATTGACAACAGATAGGTCCGTACGGAACGGGGCCCCCTCCTGATGCTGTTCCAGGAGGAGATCCGTATCGCCGCCAGCCGCCCCAGCTTGCCCGTGGGCCTCTCTCCCATAACGGATCGGTCTACCATTGGCCGGTCTCGCTCGGGGCGGTGTACAGTGGAGAACAATGCCAAGAGACACCCTCGATGGTTTCGCCCTGGAAAGCGTGACGCTCCCACACCAAAACTCAAAGGAAGTCCTGGGGTCTCGGGGTTGGGCTTCTTGTGGCAGGTTTCTTGTGGACCGGCCTCCGCTGTCTACCTCTCTCACAGGACCGCCCGCTTACACGGACCGGAGCAGCAGGAGCCAGGAGCAGGGCAGGGGGGCGGCAGCCGCGGGAGCGGGAGCGTGGAGAGCGAGCGGGTTTGAGCAGTGGGCAGGGAGGAGGGCGAGCCGAGTGCCACCAGCCTGAAGTCGGGCACGTTCTTCTACAGGAGGAATGTTCAAGAATAGTCAAAAGATAGTCTGGGGACGAGTTGTCGACCATGTTTGACTACGTCTGAATACGTTTGACCATGTTTGACTATGTCTGAATACGCTTGACCATGTTTCAATCCTTCGTCCGAACTTCGCCTGTAGGAGGACGTGTCCGACCTCACACTAGCCTGATGTTTTTGCTTCTTCGCCTGAGGCGGCGGTCGTTTCGTTTTTTTCCCCTATGGCATGAACGCCGCCAGCCCGTGCTTCAGGTCCGCGCAACGACACAAAGCGCGAGTCGAGGCTGCGACACGCGAAGATGTGTGTTTTGTTCCTCTCTCTCTCTCTCTCTCTCTCTCCCTCGCTATCTCTCTTTCTCCATCTCTCTCTCTCTCTCTCTCTCCTCGGTCGGGCTGAGTCCCTTCCGCCCCCGATGTGTTGTCGTCAGGCCGACCCACAGCGCGGAACCAAAACGGCAGTTGCGTTCCGCAGGTAGACCGACGAGCCACCTCGGCATTCGCTCGAGATTCTCCTGCCCCTCCCCGCTCCCGCCTCGCCTGCTCTCCCACCACCCGCCGTGCCGCGGTCGGCCTGAGTCCTTGCCGCCCCCCGGTGTGTCCCCGGCGGAACCCAAGCAGCTACTTCGCCGAGGGAACGGCGGGGACGCCAGCATCCACGCCCAAAGCGCGCACGTCGCAGAGATAGGAGGAGGAGGAGGAGGAGGGAGGAGGAGGAGGAGGGAGGAGGAGGAGGAGGAGGAGGAGGAGGAGGAGGAGGAGGAGGAGGAGAGGAGGAGGGGGAGGAGGACGAGACGAGGAGGGAGGAGGGAGGAGGACGAGGACGAGGAGGAGAGGACGAGGACGAGGGAGGAGAGGAGGAGGAGGAGGGGAGGAGGAGGAGGAGGAGGAGGAGAGGAGGAGAGGGGAGGAGGAGGGAGGAGGAGGAGGGAGGAGGAGGAAGGGGAGGGAGGAGGAGGGAGGAGGAGGAGGAGGAGGAGGCGAGGAGGAGGAGGAGGGGGAGGGTCGCAGATGGCAAGCCGCTCCTGGAGACTGCTGCAGTGGAGGCCCATGCCAGGAGACACCCTGCTCGCCTCCAGGGTGCCGTGGGTTTCGTGGGCGTCAATCGTTTTTGAATTGGCATGGCTGGACCTAAACGCTGTGTTGCTGGACTTCGGCTGTGTTTTGTTGTTCGTTTTGGGAGGGAGGTAGAGGAAAACAGGTAGAGCAAAAGAGGTAGACGTGCGATTCTCACTGTTGCATCTGTGTCAGATTGGGTCGGCCGACACTGTGCGTGTCTTAGGCTTGGGGAAAACGAAACAGAAGAAGAGCAAAACGAACAACAACGTTTAGGTCCAGCCCTGTGCCATGGAGAGCGCGACGTTCCCACGCCAGAAACCAACGGACGCCCTGGGGTCTCAGGGTTGGACTGGCCTCCACTGCAGCAAGTCGCTCCTGAAGGTCACTACCCGAGCGACGGATGATCGAGATGGCGCCCGTGGCTGCTGTGTTGCTGCGGTTGACCTCCAGGTCAAAGTGCCGCACAGTTCGCAGCTTCACGATATTCTCCCCGCACGTGCACACCTCGTGTCTTGCCATATTCACCTAGCCATCCTCTTCCCCTCCTCTTCATCATGCTCGTCGCTTTATTTCTGCGTCCTTTCTCTCGACTTGGTATTCTCCCACTTTCCCCATCATCCTTCTCCGACTCCCCCCCCGTTCCCCTCATCCCTCATCCGCAATCGTACTCCGCACCTTAATGCTCCTCCGAGGACGATTCCACCGTCTTCCTCTCGCTGGAGCTTTCGGGAGGCGGCAAGAAGCGCAAGAAGAAGACGTACACTAAGCCCAAGAAGATCAAGCACAAGCGCAAGAAGGTGGGTTGACGAAGAGGAGCAGGAGCAGCCTTAGCAGATAGAAGGAATGGGATGGATGGCGAGAGGGAGAGGAAAGGGGAGATAGGTAGGATGAAGGCGTATGGCAGTGACGGGAACGAGGAGTGCAGGATCAAGCCACAAGAGCCACACAAGGAGTTGGAGAAGTCAGAGGAGCCCAAGGAGCCAGACCAGCAGGGGGTGAGGAGGAGGAGGAGGAGGAGGAGGAGGGAGGGGCCGAAGAGGCGGAGGACGGCGAGGAAGAGGAGGTGGAAGAGGAGGAGCCAGAGCAGCAGGGAGCAGGAGGTGGGACCAGGCAGGCGGAGCGGGGACCACAGCCGGGAGGGGCGGGGAACGGCGGGGAGGAGCACGCGCAGGCGCGGAGGCTGCCCCCCGGCCGGGCCCTCCCCCATGGGTCCAGGAGCGGGCCAAGCGCCGCTGCCGGGCTCGACCCAGGCCTGGCCACGGAGCAGTGGTCGTGTGTGTGTGTGTGGAGCTTTGCGTCGGGCCTGTCCTTCTACAGGGGGAGTACTCCAGAGTAGTCAGAACATGGTCTGGGGACGACTGCTTCGGTCATGTTGTTCGCTCCCTGTTTTTGGATTCTGCGTGGCTCGTTCCGCTCTGTCCTCCAGCACCGGCCTGTAGGGGGGCGTGCCCGACCCGAGTGCGGACGTCGCCGCCCCAATTTTTTTGGGGGGGCGGCGTGCCCCGGAGCGCTGGGCCGATCGCTCCTCTCCCGCAGCGCCGCCGCCAGCGGTGTGGCGTGCCCAGGGCGGGCAGGAGCCAGAGGAGCAGGGTGCGAGAGGGGCGCGCGATGAGGAGCAGGGCGCGTATCGAAGACGCCCACGGCGAACCATTGCGGCCGCCCCCTGACTCCAGGAGCGCCTGTGTGGCCAAACGTTATGGAGGAGTTTGGCCAGGGATATGACGCTGGTGCTGCTGCTGCTGCTGATGATGATGCTAATCATGCTGATGATGTTGATGATGATGTTGGTGAAGATGATGGTGAGGAGGATGACGATAATGATGATGATGATGATGATGATGATGATGATGATGATGATGATGATGATGATGATGATGATGATGATGATGATGATGATGATGATGATGATGATGATGATGACGGCGATGGCGATGGTGATGGTGCTGGTGGGGATGTTGGTGATGAGGGTGATGGTGATAATGATGGTGATGGTGATGATGCTGATGATGCTGATGATGATGATGATGATGATGATGATGATGATGATGATGATGATGATGATGATGATGATGATGATGTGGTGACGGTGCTGCTGGTTGCGATTTCTGATTCACGATTGACAGTATGTTTCCCAGCTGCATACGCCACGTGCCGCCACCGTGCCTGAGTTGTGGGCACGAACCTTATTGAATTATTGAATGTTCGTTGTGATCTCGTGGGAGGCCTTGCGGGTGCCTCTTGGAGGCAGTGTTGAGGCCTCTTGTGGACCGTTGGGGGGCCTCCTTTGGGCCTCGTGGGGGCCTCGTGGGGGCCTCGTGGGGGCCTCGTGGGGGCCTCTTGGGGGCCTCTTGGGGGCCTCTTGGAACGGGTCTCTTGGAGGCATCTTGGGGCAGAAGTCTCGGATTCTCGCCTCGTGTTCCATCTCTTGGGCTCTTTTTGGGAGCAATATTGGGGCCCGTTTGGGCTGTCTTGGGCGCCTCTTGGGCCGTCTTGGGACGCTCTTAGGTTGTCTTGGGGCCCTCTTGGAGGCCTCTTGGGCGTTTTCGGTTGGTCTTGGGGGCCTGTTGGGCCGTCTTGGAGCGTCGGAAAGCCGAAAGGGCGAGAACGCCCCAATTTTTCAAAACCAGAAGGAAAATGATTGTTGCCTCTTGCAGCCCTCTTGGGAGGCCCAGAGGCCTCTCGGGGCGTCTTGGAGACCTCTTGGGCCAGCTTTGGGCCATCTTGGGCGGCCTGAGTGCGCTTCATGGGTCGTCATGGAAGCCTGGGAGAGCCACAAGGAGGCGCCACGGCCACCTGGGCATCCTTGGGAGTAGGGGCGATGCAGGTACCTGGGCGCGGGTGTGACGGGTGGGTGGTCGCTTGGAAGACTCAGTAGACGCGCGAACGGCAATGCATGTAACGGCGATGTAGGGTCCGGCATTGCAGGTGGGATTGGTTCGTGGCCAAGCCAGTTGTAAGACATCGTGGTTCGCGTTTTCTGCAATCTTCTACGTCGTGCTCGCTCGATACATTCGCACATTTGAAATGTAGGAAGGTGTGGTTTGTGATTTCCTACTATTTGTTCTGCGCGAGTTCGGTGTCACAAAAATCATACTCCCAACATCGCCGTTAACCAACATCGCCGTTAGCCAACACCCGCTTGCTGGCCCAAGCCCCCTGAACTGAACACTCCTGTCGCGCGCGTGTGTGCATTCGTCGCATGTTGCGTCATTCGTAAAGCGCCAGGTCAAGCTGGCAGTGCTGAAGTTCTACAAGGTTGACTCGAGCGACAAGGTGCTCTGTCATCTCCGCGATGGGCGAAATCTTTCCCAGCGAGAGGGCCGACAGCTAGAGAATACGCAGGGGTGGTCGACATTAGGCATGCGCGTGTATCGACTTGCCTTCTGCCAATTCTGCCACCGTGCCTTGGTCGTGGGGCAGAGGAGTGTTGGATGCCCGCCGCGTTTTCTTGGAAAGCCTTTCGGGGGATCCATGGGGGGCGTCCGTCTTGCATGTGGACACTGAGGGCGGGCGCGGCTCTCTGGTGCCTGGCTTGCGGGGCCGAAGATACATGCTTAATGTGATACCGAAGTGGTTACTTCGTGAGGAGTATCCGTCGAAGAGAGGAGGAGAAGGAGGAGCAGGAGGACTGTGAGGATGAGAGGGAGGGGGACCTAGAGGAGGAGGAGGAGGAGGAGGAGGAGGAGGAAGGAGGAGGAGGAGGAGGAGGAGGAGGAGGAGGAGGAGGAGGAGGAGGAGGACGATGAATAGGATACGGCGATACGGATATTAGGTGCGACGCAGCGACGCATGGGCCCCTGGGAAGACCCCGCAGTTTCCCAGAGTCAGGGGAAGAATCGCACGTCGAGCCCACACCAATAACATCTGGGCTAGGGTAGTTTCTCCGAAGGGCTTAGGCGACCCTCATCCCTTCTCATCCTCCCTCCTCCTCCTATTCCTCCTCCTCCTCCTCCTCCTCCTCCTCCTTCCGTAGCCATTTTGGCTCAAGATGCCTAGTTCCACAGGGGAACAAGTGGATACCGCTAGTCCGCGGCCAGTGCCAGGGCTCTTGAGCCCGACAGCTTTGTTCAACTCTCCGTGTGCCTCCTGCAGCCCGCAGGTGAGCTTCCTCAGTCTCTCTCGTCCATGGCGCCCCCGCAGCAGCGCAGCGCCTATGTCAAGTGCTACTCCTGCTCGTACTCCTGGAACTACAAGACCAACCAGACGTGCTACTGGTGCAGCAAAACCTTGGCGCCGTGGACAGACTCCCCGCCTCCAGTTCAAGGCGCCTGGGCGGCCCGCGCCAAGGCCGCAGCCCAGGCCGACTCCAGCTGTACCCAGCAGCCCAGCCCCGAGACGGGATGGGAACCGTGGTCGTCATGGCCCAAGTCCCGCCGCCGCCGAGGCAATGGCAATGGCAAGAACCAAGAGGACGACTGGTGGGCCAACAAGAACGATACCCCCAAGGTGCGCTCCGCAGAGGACATCCTTGCGGAGCTCCAGGCGATCGCCCCTCACATCGACAAGGCAGCCATCGACGGTATCAAGTCGCAGATCCCGCCGCCCCAGCCGCAGAAGCCAGCCGACCTCAACGACATCTACAGCCGCGCCCAGGCCACGGAGCGCCGCTGCAAGAACAACCTGGAGAGGCTGCTCGAGAGTGAGCAAAAGGCGCTCAGCTGGTACACTGAGCGCAAGGCGGCGTCGGAGGAGGCCGCCTACAAGTTGGCAGAAGCCCAGGCCGAGGCCCAAGCAGCTCTCGATGCCCTTCAAGTCGCTCGCAAGGGCGGCACGGCTCCCACGGCCTCGCAGCAGAACCCGACGTTCAACCTCACCAGCCTCCTCGAGGACGGTGACATATCCATCGAAGCGGGTTCGGCGTTCGACCTCCAAGGCCTCGACATCGACGACAGCGATCGCCAGGCATGGGAATCCCTGCAGCAGCGCTTCGCCACGGAGCTCAAGGCCAAGGTCACCGAGCGCACGCGCTTCGCCGCCAAGCGTCAGCGAGCCGACGAGGACGGTCACGCCCGAGAGGGAGGTGGATCGCCGCCCGCCGCCTCGGCGGCAGCAGGCGAACCCCCAGCGGCAGCCGCAGCGGACGCTGATGGCTCCGTGGCCTCATCGACAGCGGCGCCAGGCGACGAGCCTCCCGCACTTGCTGCTGGCGTTACTTCTGACGGCAGCGTCGCCGCACAGCCTGTACCAGCGATCAACAAGGACCCCGACCTTGAAGACAAAGCACAGAAGATGCTCTGCCAGATGCGCAAGCCCACCGCTACCGCCGCGGCTGGAGCGCAGCAGCCTCTTTAGCCGACTACTACCCGGCCCAGGACGGAATGGTGAGACGGGACGCCTACCGTCAGAGACCATGAAATACGACAACCCACCGATCATCAACACAATGGACGCAGTCCTCGACCCGTTCGACGAGCTGGCCGAGTTGGACGCCCACATCGATTTCGCAGCCACAGCCCAGTTTGCTACCGCCCCGCCCGAGACGCTGTCCTCGGCTGGGGGCGATGAGGCGGCACAGTCCGTCGACGCAGTATCATGGGACCCAGGGCTGCCGCAGCGCGCCGCGCGAGCCGACCCTGATGCCGCTCCGCCCGAGACGCTGTCCTCGGTAGGGAGTGATGAGACGGCCCAAGCTGTCGACAAGCAGTTGGTACAGGAACCAGGGGATCAGGTGCCAAAGGCACACCCTGATGCCGCCCCGCCCAAGACTCAGTCCTTGGTAGGGGGCGATGAGATGGCGGAAGCCATCGACTCGACCGCTGTGGAAGGCCCATGGATGCCCAGCAGCCCGAGACCCGACCCCAGACCCGTCTACCAAGACGAAGGCCCTACGAATCCCACGCCGTCAGATCACTCCCTTTTCTTCTCCAACATTACCCAGTGGGGGCCACAGTCGGAGAAATGGTTGGCAGGACCAGGCAAACAATATCAGATGGTGGCATTGGTTGAAACACACATCTCGCACGGTAAGGCCCCTCTCATCTACAACAAGCTAGCAGCAGATGGTTGGAGGATATCATCGACTACAGCCACGCCGACCAGCAGATCCGACGGAGGCAACACGGGCGGCGAGATTATACTCTCCAGGTACCACGTCCAGGCCACTACCTTCAACCACCTCCGCGACCTGGCCATCTCCCAGCGCAGGCCCGACCCGTTCCGAGGCTTCACCCCCATGGTATGGCACAGACGCTCGGGCAACCTGGTCGTTATTGCAGCATACCTGGAACCCCGCAGGCAGATCGAGGGTGCAGTGCACGATGAGCTACTTTCGCTGGGGGCCTTCGTTACTATGCTCACTGACCCTTGGATCATCCTGGCCGATTGGAATATGACTCCTGAGCAGCTCGCAGCGACAGAGTGGCCCGCCAAATGGAATGCTACCATCGTGCGAGCGCCTGGATCTGCCGCGTGCGACAAGGGCCAGGGGCTCACGCTCGACTTCGCATTGGTCAAGACTGGCATCGAGCACACGATCTCCATTCGCCAGTGCCCCACCGTCCCCTGGGCCACCCACGTGGGCCTTGAGGTTCGAGCAGGCAGTGCAGACCCCTGGTGGTATCAGTCGATCCATACCCCCAGAGCCTTCCCCACAGTGGACAGACCCAGGATCCCACCCGACCCCAACAGCAAGTCCGCCATCAAGAGACGCAAAACAGCAGAAGCTCGAGCAGCACGCCTACGCGAACTACCTCCTGAACTCCAACAAGCAGCAGCACAACTCCAGCCTCAAGACGAGCCCGCAGCACAGGAGCCCATCCCTTACGCTATCCCGACCGACCTCTGGGAGGAGCAATGGCAGCAAGCAGTACCCACACGTTGTAAGCAGCCCCACGCGCACTTCGCGTACACTCACTGGGCTCACGACGCCGACGACCTCAACCTCAAGTACGCCAAATGGGTCACGGCGCTCGAGAACACCATGATCACCCACCACCAGATCGTCCCCAAGGAAGCCGCAGCCTTCACAGGCCGTGCCCAAGGCTACCGATTGTCCTGGAAGAAGACGGCCGCCGCCCCAGGCCGCGTTCACGTACATGACCCTCAGTCAGAATTGTGGGCAATCACGCTCGCCCTCATCAAGCGCTACGCCGCGCTTCACGACAAGCCCAAGCACACAGCGCTCATGCAGCAGCAGGCCTCCATCATCCAGCAGCGCGCCGACCACTTCAGCACTCACTTCCACGACCTCCAGTTCGAGAAGGACGAAGACACCATCCTCCGCTGGTTTGCACTCGTCTGGGCCCCGCACTTGGACAACGAGGACACCGACGACTTGGTCACCACTACTGCTACTTGGGCCTCCAGGGCGCTGGCCGCCGCCCTCGCTAAGTCCAAGAGGGCCTACGGCGCCTGGCTCGCCAAGCAATGGAAACACCGCCCTGGAGTACTACACGCCCATGTCAAGCCAGCGCCCGTGCGCCACATCGAGGCCTACACGACCAACCTGGCCGTCGCTGACCCCACCGTTGTCATGGACAGCAAGAGGCAACAATGGCAACAAGTATGGCAGGCCACAGAGACCCGTGACGACATCCTACAGGCGCTATCAAAGGCCAAGGCAGCAGCCGCACACCAACCGCTCGAGCCCATCACAGCCGAGATCGTACATCGTTTTCACGGCCGCATGCCACCCAGTAAAGCACATGGAGTGGACGCACTAGGACCTCGCGACCTCCATCGGCTACCAGAACCAGCAGTCGAAGCCTATGCGGATATCCTCAACGCAGTAGAGCAGGCAGGCATTTGGCCACTACAAATCTCAGGCACTATTGCAGCCCTCGCAGCCAAGAGGTCTGGAGGCGACAGGGTCCTCGGCATGCTACCTCACATGGCCAGACTCTGGTCTCGCATCAGATCGACGGCATCTACTTCCTGGACCCAAGGACTGGATGACTTTTGGACTACAGCCATCAAAGGCTCCTCAGCTCTCCAGGCCGCCCTGCACAGGGCCTTGTTAGACGAGACAGCCTCAGCACTTGGCATACAGTCAGCCACATTGCTATTGGACATCCAGAAGTTCTACGGCAATATCAAGCTCGCCAACCTCATCATGGTTGGCCTCAACTGCGGCTTCCCACCCATCGTTCTACTTCTGGAAGTACAGCTATACCTCGCGCCCAGATTCTTGCGCAGCCGACAATGGGTGAGTATGCCCATCTTCGCCTCCAAAGGCATCATCGCAGGCTCCCCGCATGGCACGACCTTGGCGCGACTCATATTACTTCCTATTCTACGGCAGGCCTCAGCTCAGGCCGAGCTAGCCCAGATGTGGACCTTTGTAGACGACACCGTACTTCGAGTCGAAGGAGTCCTACGCACACTTCAGGAGCACCTCCCCCGTGCCGCCAAGACGCTCTGCGACGGCTTAAAGGAGTTCGAGCTGCCCATCTCTGACAAGACGGCCCTCATCGGCTCCACGCCCAAGGTCCGCAAATCGCTTGCCAAGAAGTTGCGGCAGTACGACATCCCTGTCACAGCGACCGCCACGGCCGTGGACCTCGGAGTCGACGCGGCCGCGGCTACTCGACGAGTACAAGCAAAAGCCAGGAAGCGACAGAGCTCAGCCGCAGCTAGGTTTCGCAAGATACACCGACTACGGAGCACTGCACAGCAGGCTCGAATCTCAGCAGGACTGTGGCGTACTGGCGCTCTCCCCGAAGGAGTCTTCGGTCATCAGGTGCACGGCCTTGCTCGACACGCTCTACTACGATGGCGCCGTCAGGCCGCCATCGCCGCCACGGGGGCAGCAGCGGGCCGATGCCTCACCTCCCTCCTCGGCGCCACCTTCGACGGCATGGACCCAGGAGTTTTCCTAAGAATCGAGTTCATCGAGGCTTGGCTCCAGCACTGGATACGCCACCCGACCACGCACGCCAGGATCATCAGAGCATGGCCAAGGATCAAGACCACCTTGCTAGCCGCAGGCCCCAAGCTGCGGTGCAGGGTCAAGGGGCCCACTGGCGCGGCCATCGCAACACTGCTGGAGGCCAGCTGGGAGCCGACCTCAGCCACCACGTGGAGGCGCACAAAGGACGGCTACATTGAGGAGTGGAACCTCCCCTCTGCCCACGACCCAGACCTCCCCGACGCCGACATCCACACAGTATTGCAGGACCCCAGCGAGGATTTGCATAGGCTCCTTTGGACTCAGGCCGCTACCCATGACCATGGCGACACGCTGGCTGGAGGAGCGGACATGGTCACTATCCGCATCGAGCAAAGGAGGTTCCTCGCAAACGGTGATTTCAGCGACTGGGCCCTCAACAACACCGTCATCAGTGGAGGACAATGGACCAGGGACCGCCTCCACAACTCGGGCTACCAGATCGACAGGAACTGCGACCGATGCAGCGCAGGAGTTCCTGAAACCCTGTTTCACCGCATGTGGCAGTGTGAGGCGAACGTGGGACCCGAGTTTGAGGCCAGTGGCAAGCTACTACCGCGAGCCGTGGCGGGGGCCGAAGCTGACCCTGCCCTGTGGCTCCGTGGCATTCCCTCCGCCGCTCTCACTACGCCCGCGTTCGAGCCATTGACTGGGAGGGACGGGTGGGAGTTTGTTGGTGCGGTGCGGGATGGGTTGCCGTCGTGGGAAGGAGCTCGCAACGCTGGGGGCGAGTTGTTTCTTTTTGGCGACGGGTCTGGCGGCGCCTTTTCCGACGACGTCAGACGAAGACGTGTCGGTTCTGGCCTCGCGGCCCTCCGATGGGACCCTCCCTCGGCCTCCTGGGCCCTCCATGCTGGCCTCCTCGCCCCCCTCCCAGGCCCCCGCCAGACTGTCCCAAGAGGCGAATTGCATGCGTTTTGTCTGGCTCTCGAGACGTGCCAGCAGGAGTTCGCGTTTGTTACCGATCACCTAGCCCTACAGCGCGGCTGGCAGAATGGCAGATGTCTCCGACCTGGCAGCCTCAGAGGCAAGAATAAGAATGGGGATCTCTCTGGCTGAGAATTCGGCACCTCGTGCAGGATCGATCTGGCGGCTGCTCTTCGGTCTCGGTGCTCTGGACCCCATCTCATGCCGATCCCCTCTCTTTGAATGGTTTCCAACAATTTATGGCTCTCGGCAACCAGCATGCCGATGAGCTCGCGGGAAGCGCGGCCCACAAGTCGGCCACCCTTGCCCTCCCGCCTGTCCCCAGGACTGATGAATATGACGCTATTGCAGCCATCGTCCGACAGAGGGCCCGACTGATCTTACGTTCCTTAGGCAAGAATTCAGAGCCTCGAGGACAGTGGCCAGAAAGGCAACCCACCCAGGCTGCAGCCCCTCGCTCTCAGTTGCAGACCGCGTTCGCGGCTTCTCAGCACAAATTCGAGCGGTGTGCAGACAAATGGAGATGCCCTGCTTGCCTCATCATCGTTGACGCGTGCCACGTTATTCCAGCTGCCGCCACTGAGTGTGCGCCGCCTTGCCCCCTTCCCGAGTTCGCCGCGTGTGGAGAGGTGCTGTGGTCGAGGGGGCCCCGCGTGATCAGTGGCAAGTTGATCCACCCCTCCCACTTTTTGGCCACCATCCCCAAGTGGCAGTTGTTCTTTTGTGTGAAGTGCGGCCATACGGCCACGCACCAGGTTAAAAGCCTTCTTTTGCCGTGCCCCCTCTCCCACCAAGTGGGAGAGCGCAGGGCCCTGGGACCCACTGGCAAAGGCCTCGAGAACCTCAGCAGGATCAGGCGAGGCCTCCACCCGTCCAGAGCGGGTCCCAGCAAGGCAGTGCTTGAAGCTTTGCACGTTTCGGCAGCCGAAGCCGCGATCGGTTCCTTCGCGGCGGGTGCTGCCACCGAGTAAATTGCGAGGCCAAGGGGGCCTGTCGCGGCGGGCCGTGGGATGTCGCCCCCCACGGCCCTCCGAGAAATACTGGATGGCCCCCCTGGCATCCCTGGGTTCCGAACGGACTACGTCCGATTGCTCCACTCCTCCTCCTCCTCCTCCTCCTCCTCCTCCTCCTCCTCCTCCTCCATCTCCTCCCCCCCGCCCCTCCTCCACATCATCCTCCTCTTCCTCCTCCTCCTCCTCCTCCTCCTCGGGTCGCCCACGGCCCCAGGGGCAACCGTGCAGGCTAGGGGGACGGGCCATGTGATCAAGATGGCCGAAACCCCAGGCCAGAGATGTTCTCCAGTACATATTCCAAACGTCCAGCCCGCGCTTTACGGGGCAGCTCTGAAACGTCTCCGATGGTGGTCCACTAGTGGCGACACTCCCAGGACCACGAGGGAGAAAGGGAGGGAGAGAGAGAGAGTGAGAGAGAGAGAGAGAGACAGAAAGGGTGTGAGAAAGAATGAAAGGGATATATATGGATATACATAGGGAAGGAGGCGGGAGGAGGGAAAGAGGAAGAGACAGAGAGAAAGAGGGAGGGAGGGAGAGAGAGAAAGCGCGACGGTCCCAGGCAGAGCAGCAGCATGCGCAGGCGCCGCAGCATCGGGAGCCGCAAGAGCGGCAGAGTGATTGGGATGCTCAGCAGCGGCAGCAGGACCCCGAGCAGTCAGGCCACCAGGGGGACTACAGTCAGCCCGCATAGTAAGGATGGGCCACCTTCCCAAGGGTACCCTTGCATCCTTGTCTCCTCGGCCCATCCCTGGCCACTTGCGTTGGCCGCGCCCTACTCGAGAAGCTTCGAAAGGGGCGTCCAGGGGCCTTGCATCCTTATCGTGCGTCCTCATGATACGGGTCGCATGTAGCAGCAGGACCCCGAGCAGTCAGGCCACAAGGGGGACTACAGCAGGGTGGACAGACTCTTAGACCCCAGGGTTCACACATGGCCCTCCTTGGAAGCACGCCTTGGAGGGCCCTCGGAGCCATGGGGGGCATCCAGTGCCCTGTTCCCTCTCTGCTGCAGCAGGGGGAGGAGGCGGATGAGAGTTCAGCAT